TTGTTGAGAAGGCATATAGGAACACTGAAAGTGTTTGAACTAGTTTAGATGAACATGTGTTGAGAAGGCATATAGGAACACTGAAAGTGTTTGAACTAGTTTGGATGAACAACAGGAAACACAATGACAAAGATAATACAAAAAAATGAACAGTTTAGTTGTTTAAACAAGAACAATAGTATCCCATGATAAGATTCAATGGTGAATTCTTCAAGATTGAATAGAGGGTCATACTTACTTCTTTGCTCATTTTGGTATATCTTTTAGGTATTGATATTCTCTTTGGTGTACCAGTTTTACTTCTTTGCTGATGGTCAAAGGTCACCTGCACATAATTCATTCGTAGTTTTGGCAGCCCACTATTGAAGGAGTGTCTCAATTTATCTAAATGTAAACAAGAGCATCAACAACTTATACACACCTGGTTACTTTGTAATTGTTTCTTGTACATATGAATGTGTTATTCCTTTTTTTTCAATACAGTGAAATTCTTTTAAATAAGGTAAATAGCAACTGTATCCATATTAAAAAGGAGTACATGGGTATGATGAAAACAGGATTTTTCATTAGGAGAATAAAATAAATTCAAGCTCAGATTACACATTTTAAGACTGTACTAAAAAAGATCTAGGATGAGAAATTAGCAAGACATCTGTTCTTTCACAAAACGAGTTCATACTAATACTGACACTAGAGGGTGCTACATATGGGGAAACATCTCCAGCACAGACTTGGTTTGTACCTATACTCTGACACTAGAGGGCGCCATACAATATAGTTTCTCTCACCTTCTCTGTCCAAAATCACAGGATGTTTGGACGTCTCTGGAATACATTCACCACCATTAGAATGATACAACTTATCCTCTGATATTGTCTTTAGTTTTGTCTGCATGCCTTGTGCTGGCAATGTAGCAGATAATGTCTGATCAATATCCGAAAAAGATTGTGTACGTGTTCTTCTTTTCTCCAATAAAGGAGCATCTCTACTGTCCAAAATATTCGGCACTGATCGAGTCCAATCTCGTGTCCAGAATATGTTATCTGATGATGGAGTGATCGAACCATTGCTTATTGCCATTTTACAGCTATGTTCTTCAAGTTCGACATTCTCTTTTGAATTAGAGTGCTGAAAAGTGAAATAAATAAGAAATTGTTGTTTACCAAAAAAAAAATAAAAAATAAACAAGCTTAGCTAATATGAAAGTACAATGGCTTTTAAAAACCACAGACTGTGATTCACAGTCCAAATGCTTTCTTATTCTTGCTAGTGTAACAGCTGTTTGAAACGCTGCAAATAATAAACAGAATTATCTCCTTGTTTATTTTATTATACATGTATAGTATAGCCATATGTACTTTTTTTCAACATGCAACCACAGATAAATAAGTAAATGTTTGTATCTACTGTAGTACCGGTAGTAAGTAGTGACATCTATATGTTACCAAGATTCCATACTCATTAATCTTTCACCTGAATAGGTGATTTTCCGTTCAACTGTGAGATCCCGCGAGATACATGAAAGACGCACGTCGAACGTCTGCCGCAAAAATCGAACGATTTGATTTTGAACTCGAATTTCTTTATTTCATAGCTCACATCGACCGGCCGATCTTTGACAGAGGAATATTGCTTTTGAATACCCTCACTTAATCAAAATTGTCTATCATCAAATGTGTACAGCACATTATTAAGCATGGAAATGCCCCCCAAAATATTTTCGCGTTTGTTGAATTTTACTTCTAGAAAACACATGCCTTTATACATTTGTATGCCGTCTAATCTGTTAATATTTTAGGCACTCGTTATAATAAACATGATTCGACTTTTGCAGAAATACATGTATGTAGAGTAGAAATCGACAAGAACTTTCCTGTGAGAAAATGTTGTTAGGTTTGATATTTAATAGTTGCATGCACCAAACTTGATTCATCAAAATATTTATTTACCTTCTTTAACACTCCCATAGCATGTTTCATTCTCTTTTTTAAACTCTGTTTTTTAGGAGTTCCATGTCCATTTTCTGGTGATATTACACTAGGCTAAAAGGTCAGAAAAAAACAAACCATTGAGAAGCTCAAAACCCCTTCCGTTTTTGAACTTTAAAATCTGTCAAATGTAATGACAGTATTTATATGCTATTTTTTGTACAAGAACCTACAGTTCTACTCTCTGAACTAAATTTCTTGGGCTACGAGTATAAAATTATAGATATTTAGGCAATTTCAGAGTAAAATGGCTGCCAGTTGGCCATTCTGAATCTGATAAAAAAAATCTAGATCTTATTCTACCCATAGGTAAATAATAAACACAATATTGATGAGTAAAATTGAACTCAAGATCAGATAAGGAGTTCATGGCAAAAAGGTAAACGAAATTTCCCCCATGAAACAGATTAGGGCACAATCATTGAAAGAAATGGGGGTGGGTGGAAGAGTTAGTTGTTGTTTAATATTTATATTTATAATGTGTTTATTAAAAGAGCTCCCCTCAATTTTAAATGGCCAACCAGTAATCTGTTGCAAAAGTAAATTTCATAAGGATTGTTTATGATAAAGATTCCTAATTCGATTTGGTGAACAAAATAGTTCTCCACCATCCTCCGTCATCCAGTCAAAAGCTAACATTTTTATATGTGCAGCATCTCCTGTTTAAATCCTTTGGGGACCATAGTAAAGTTTTATTGACTTTCACAAACAATTTTTTTCACACTTTAGATCAAGTCAATAGAAAACAATGTTGCAAAATTATTTTGAAAATTATAGAAAAATACATTGGCAAAATATTGCACCGAAATGTTGGAGAAAAAAAATTAAAGTGCTCAAAGGTAAATGTATATACCCGGTATATGCAGTATACATCAATAAACAGCAGTACGTAACTTGAGGGTGTGATCCCTATAAACTGTCAACATTGTAGCTTTAATACTGTAAACATATTACTTATTACATCTGTCACCGTAACGCCATAAGTTACAGTGTGCCATAATTTTATGGGGTATTTTCATCCTACCATATTAAGAAATGTGAATTCCAAATATGGAATGATTACACACGTAAGCGTCCTTTAATAATAAAAACAAACATGGCTGCCAATAGGGTTTGACTGGAGTCCACACAAAAAAGTTTGCAGTTTCTGTTCTAAATATTTTGGATTTAGCCATTCCCATGGTGTAATCTTGGAAAGAAAAGATGTATAATAATAAGGTTATTACGAGGATACC